TGTAAAAATCCAATTTTTTCTTGTTAAAAATACCAGAGAATGTTCTGGAGAGAGAGAGAGGGCTGCTTCGATTTAAAAAAATTAATACAATAAGGAGAGAAGTCAGCTGTAAAACAGGTCATACTATAAAAAATAATCCAATGGGAAAAAATATTAAACAAAACATTCCTTCGTAGGATGTCCAAGAGCCAAATAATTTGATTATTTTTCATAACCTAACATAAACAGAAAAAAAATCCAGTGAAATTAATCTTAATCAGTTAATCGTAATCTGTTTACATAAATGAAGACAACAATTTTTGACTGCTTAATATGCGAACACATGGAGTTTATTGTAAAAACAGCTTTTCATATTTATAGCTGCATGGCATTGGGGTATAAAGTTACAAAAAGAGTGCAGGCGGCTTCACAAGCTGTCAGACCACACACATATAGCACAAGCAAATTCATGTAGCGAACTGAGATGTAGAGTGGTAGCAGGATGGATAATCATATAAACACTTGGCCAGCTTCATATCAAACTATATGGTTGGAAGACCAACAAAAATATCTCATTTATCATTATTTTGACAGTTGGGTTATCAACATGCTGACTACTGAATAAGTGCATTTAAATCCAGTGAAAGAAACCAAATAAGAGAGACCAAGTTAACATGGCATTGTATCCCCCCCCCCTTCTTCCTGAAGATATCATTGATAGCATTGAGTATGATAAAATTCTATTTGTATACATATTGCTGGCTGTACAAGAGTTGTTCCGTTTGAGATCACACTGCAGATAGATGAAAAGGGGACAGACAGTACAAGGTTATGCAATATACTATTGTTATGATTATCAAAGGCCATGTGCTATTGAAAAAATTGAAAAGGAGGTTAGGATGGTGATGAGCTACTATTCAAATAACACCAAAGAAACCATGAAAACACCTAGATTTGTACAAATAACACATCAAAACAATCAAGTCTATTATTCAAAATTCCTATACACGTATCCCAGATACATACATGCTGCACAGAATTTGTTCAAGATTCCAAATTTTTCTAAAATATTCTGAATTACAAGGAAAGAATAAATGCAGACAATAGGAACCTTATCAAAATTCCCAGCCACACCTGACCTGTCCTGCATTTGCAGTATATATAGTTAGTGTTAATTTCAACTGTGATTCAGACATGCCACATTTTCCCCGCTGATTGTTTGCAATTTGGGGGCTTTGATTTGTCAGGGGACAGATATGAAATATGTAAAAGCAAATTTAATAAGATTAGGCTAGTGGAAGTTGCAATTCCTACACAGTTTAAATTATGGGTGATAAATTCTCTGAGGAACCCTGTCTGTTCTTGCACGCTCCCATTAAAAACTAGCTAAATCTCAAGACACATAACAGGGCTAGTGCCGACCCTCTTGTGCCAAATTAAACTTGAAAACCCAGAGTTCCATCAAAACTATGTCAGAGTCAATTTTTCATACTTTGGAAGACCTTTTTGTATTGAAGGGGCAACACTAATCCCAGTGCCACAATATTCGGTGCATTGATTGTTTAATGCGGGGAAAATCACATTGAGAATATCCTCAACTGTATTAAACAGCAGGAAGCTTGATCATAACAACAGTATGATGAAAATGTCAAAAATTCTTCACCCTTCTGACCCAATTTTGATATTATAACAGTAATCTTCTAGCAGCAATTAATCAAACTATGCGATCCATGCTGGAGCACAGCTGCGAAGAATGACATGAATGAAAGCCTATTCAATATCTGGTTGTTGCAGTGAGTGCATTTCTTATGTTTTTCTTTACTTTTCATACAAGGTTGTGATGGAATGCGTAGGAAAGCACATTTTACATAAATCCATGATCCCATTGTACAGCTATGCATATTGACACTTTTTGTTTGTTTACTACACTTTACTTCGTCCTTTTCTTTTCTGTATTCTCAATTGACACGGTGGGGCATGATTGAATTTTCAGTGAAAATTGCATTCTTTTGTGAAAATGAAAAGTTGGCTGAAAACTGCAAACAATGAGCACTCTCGACCAGTAGGTACATATCAATTTTTTATCTGGCTTAATCTCGGCCCCTTTCATCCGTAGCCATAGCACTGTTTGTCTTCACTGACATCATTTCAAAGACGCTTTTATTAAGACTTATTAATGCCCACAATGACAAAGTACAGACATATTTTGCATATTCTATACTGGGACCCACTGTAGCATGCACATCAAATGAGTAACGACTTTACAGCCACAAAAGAAATTTATTCTTTATTGCCCTTGGTCAAAAAATCTCAGGGTGTGTCATTATGTGCTCTAAAAACTTCTTTTCTATTCAAATCTATTCAAGAAAAATGCCATCCGCGTGCAAACACAAGACAAATACCAATGCTGCATTAATTATGGATTTCAAAAGAATGGCCGACAATAGGTGCAACGCACAGTGCTCCATCAGTAGCTCCAAAAAAAACAAAATACCAGCAACAATTATTCATCTGTTGCTTGCGTAATATTCTAAAAGAAACTTGGTTAAAAGTCATCACTTGGGGGGCTTTACCACCATCTTCCTAAAGATTGGTTTAAGTTTTTCCCCCTGGATATATAACAGATGTAGCAACCAGTTGCTTTCAGGGACTAACTTGTTTAATGCGACCTTGTCAACTTAATTGCACAGCTACTAATGTCTATTCAGTCAAATTCAGTAAAGACAAATCTGTTGCTTGCTGAAAATAAAAAAATCAGGTGCACTCAAGCCCTCAATGAATATGTAGTGGGTACAGATTACTAGGCATGAACCAGACACTAAGTGACCTTCACTGGTGAATGACCAGATACTAGTTACAGTTGCCAAGTCTATGTGAAAAAAAAAACAATTGGGTGCTATCTCTGCCACTACAATGCATTTACAGGTGTTGAGAAAAGTTTACAAGACTTCAGAGAAAATATGGATACATAAATTTGATCATGAATAGCCAAAAGCACACACAGAGATAGGTATCGAAGCAAATATGACAGTTATATCTCACCCTGAAATGGGTACTGGCCCCCAGTTGTAACTATTTACATTGTTTCTACCATAGTGGGAATTATTATTTATAATATTTCTTAGCTTTGCTTGTTCATATGGGGCCTCATGCTGATAAATAGACTGGCACTATCAGTGTACATATTTATCATGACCATGAAGGGTGATAACCAACATGCTCTCCTCATTAACTTAATTCAGTGATGGGAAAATGTGATCACGCCAGACAGAGATAGAATATGATCTAATGCACCGTCCACTGGGCTAACAAGATTAGAAAAATCAAAGCACACCGGTGATTCAGTTGATAAATAATAAGCAAATCAAAATATACGAGATGGATTTCTTGATAAAATTTTTTATAAATTTAGATATTGTTTCAATTAAGCGACAGTTTTACAGCGACCGATTATAAAGAAAAAAAAATATGAAAAATATCTTGTGATAGATTTTTATAACTGGGCCCAAGCAGAAAAAAAGCTGTAGTCTGGCATTTAAGATGAATACTAATGTACTATAAGTAAGATTTATAGGTAGAAGCAGTAGTTCACAAACAGGCAATCGGCTTTTTTAAAACTGGCCACTTCATTATGAATAATATGCTAACACACAAAAGTTTTCTTTAAAATGTGCACTATTTTCTATGAAGTAGAGCTCCCAAGACATGGGTTGACGTATAATACAAATGCCAGAAGAGTCTTTATACCGGTTCCCTACTATTGTTTATGTGTCCAAAAAGTGAAAAGAGGCTTCTAGTTGTACAATAATTTCACTGCCTAAAAGCCCTTCTCAAGTTTCAATGCATGACACTTGCCAAAATTACATTGATGAAAAGAGAAAAAGTGACAAAAAGGGGGACAAAAGCCAGAATCGCACAGTGGGGTAGGAGAATCAGGTATGAATGACTGTTCAATTTAAATTGGGCTTTAATTATGAAAAACAAATTAACATATGAAAGAAAACAATAATTAACACGTTATTTGCATATGAATTTGTCTCTAAAAATGAATATGAATTAGTGGTGAAAACGAAGTTTGTTCGTAATTAGCGTATACATGTTAAAACAGGGTGCCTTAAAGTTTGGAGAGTGGCTACTTTTGAGGCCAAGCGAAACGAGATCGAATGGCCACTCAATTCAAACATTTCCCTTAACAACTACAAAGACTGTCTGAAAGAAATGTAAAATATGAAACTCTATACGCCACGAAAGTGAGAGCGCGTATTCATATTTCGCCTTAACTTTAGGGTAAAAATTTAGCAGCGAAACTGTCACACGACCACCTCCTAGAAGGGACGGCAGCAATTTGAATATAAAGCAGAACGATACAAAAAAAGTAAAAAGTTGGAAAGTAAAATCTGTCTCTTGTTTGGAAGAGTTATGGGGAGCAGTTATGGCGTTTCATAAAAGACTGCTACTGTATGCTGCTGTCACCGAACTACGCGTAGGTCCCGACAACACGCACACACAGCACACGTCAAAACTTCAACTCCCGCTTTCACCCGCATTCCAAAACACAATTTCAAGTTCTCGTCAAATAAAAGTTATTCAAATTTTCAAATGGAAGTCGCCTACTAGGGAAAGATAAATGGGAGCCAAGTACAACTGTCAAATAAGTCGGAGAAGAAAGTCGAAATCTCAAGACGTAACTATATAAACAATTGTTGCAAACTAAAGCGACGCGTACTGAAATGTGCATGAACCCACATCAAGGAATTTCATAAGTTCCAACAGTTGTCATTGGAAAGTGTGACGAAGGCGAAGAGAGCCGCCCGCCGTCCCATCAATTCTAGCTGTCAAAGTATTACCCCGTCGCCCAACAGTTCTAATAGGTCCATGGCCAGAATAAGCTCAGCAGACAAATTTGTATAAACATTTTATCGGATGTCAAAATACCGATAGGTAGAAGCCCTGGCCTAAGAAAAGGCCACCGGTAATGAAGTCAAAACGCCAAGAAAACAAGCCCTGTCGGCGTTACTCACCGTTTTCCAGAATCGTGGACGTGTCTTGGTCGCTCCCTAGGTGCTGCGGTTTGGCCTGCTTTCGGCGCGACATGGCTGGAAACAACAGCAGCGGGGAAATGATTAGAAATTCGCCGAGTTTGGCAAAATTACGGAAATTACAGTGGGGGCCCCAGTGCGCATGTACAGAAATTTATGATTTATCAATAATGCATTGCGTTATGTTTCGAATGCATTGCCGTGATTGGCCGCTCTACTCATTACTAAGACAACTTTCATAATAAAATTTCAACCGGAGAGAAAAGAGAAGACTAGCATTAAGTCCATCAAGAGATACGTGCGGCTGTCAGACAGTGGACGTAATTTAATTTGGCGTATTTTTATAACTACTGACAACTTTTGTGACCTGTATTGGGAAATGGCGCGAATGTCACACACTGTGGAAGATCGTTCAACAACACAACGTACGCGTGTAGCGCCGTTTGACTTGCTTACTGATTTCATCAACTTAGAGTTTAACATTAACAAACCAAACTTAGATAATAATTCGCAATATATCTTTTTGCCTTATATAAATACACACCCAGTTGTAAAAAGCTCGACGACCCGCCTGAGTGCGCGATGACAAACTGCACAGTGGAAACGCAATATTGCAATACAAACACTCAAAACGTGTTTGCGTTAAGGTGTTTAAACGTCTCCCGACGTTCACGTACAGGAATTTCTTTGGCAAACTGTCTCTCGTTTCTCCCCTGTCTCATTTTCTTCCCTGTTATAGCCCCTTCCCCCAATTGATCGCTAAACAGTAAGGTCACAATGCCAATTTCTTTAACATTCCCCATTATAAATATTCATCTCTATTGTGTTTCCTCGTGTGATTATACGTAGACCGTAGTCAGTCATATTTGACCCAACATCGAAAATTATTCTTCGTTTACATATAAACCGAAAAGCTGAACTACATATAGAAATAGAAAAGAAACGTACCTCCTTTCGACTCGCCAAAGGGGAGAATTGTCATCAGAAAATATGATTTGCACAAATCTACCAAGAATGACGTTTTTTGCTGAATACTACTATACTCGCGTACTACCACCACACTATTGACAGTCCACAGCTGAGCAGCTGCCAATGTGCGTGCCACTCTCTGTGATCAGCTGATCGGCAATAGCGTGCGTCTATGCTCTTACACGGCTTTTTCACATAACAATATGAGCAATTCTCACCCGTCGATATGTTTATGCACAATAATACCCCTCCCACCGTATCCAAGGTTGACAGATCGTTATCCCCCACGACGCCTGCATCGACGGGGAATTAACACTCATTGCTCCCTATTATGGAAAATTAATAAGTTAGAAATTGCATTATTCTGGGAGCTCCACCAATAAATGCGGACCAGGGGAAGCGAGTACGAAACCATGCAAGAGGATGTTATTTTCGCCCCACGTGTAATTATTTATGACATTTGTGCCGACTGGCCGTCCGGCATATTTTGTATATGATTTTACTAGGATTATTTCAACCTCACACTAAGAATAGTACTATGCTTGGCTAACAAATAAAACACGAGATTCATTGTCTGAAAACGGTCATACCACAAATTGTGTCCGTGGAAAATATATAAAACATTGTTTTTATTTCTCAAGAACACTTGAATAGAAGGTTACGTAATTGCTCACCGAGGAATGTATCTCGACATCGACGCATTTTGAGGGCGGTGTTAATAACAGCGTGGTCCAGTGAGTCACTGACGCGCTCACTGTGCGATAGAAATACTCCGCAAACGTAGCTCCCTGGTTGAGATCGCACACCCCCTGAAATAATTTACCAGCGAAAAAAATACTACACTTTTTTTAAACAATTTGAATTTTCTATATTTTTTGTTGGCTGAAAATGAATCGAGTAAAATACTGACACGGTAGAAGAGCTTTGATTAGCTAGCGAAATATCGCTCGAAATGCTGTATGTGCAGGGCAGGCTATTGTTCTTTTCCCGCCAAATCACCGATAATAGTGTCACTGGGCGTCAATTTCATCTTCAGGGCGCCAGACAATGGGGACCACTCAAATCAGTCTTTTTGTCCAAACTCTAAATACAGTTAAACGTCCACACCACGTGGAAATTTCACGCCTAGTCAAAAGGATGTTTCAAACGAGAAACAACGAACGAGACTAAGGTCGAGACGTGCACGTTATTGGGTGGACCAGTTATAATGGGTACGGCTGTACGCCATCAATCCTTCGCCAATGTTTGTTTTAATAGGCCGTCTCTTCGAAAGCTACGGTCTTTTCAGAGTTACTATAGGGCTCGTTGAAAATAGTTACACATTAAAATAGACAAGAGCTAAAAAAGAGGGAAATTGTAAAGACATGGAAATGCCGTTAATACAGTTTTCTTTTCATTTTCTCGAACATTCGTGACACACTAGACAGGTGTCGCAATATTTCCTATCTTCTCCTCCTCTCAGCAAGCTATTCCACCAGCTCACTTTCACTGGAAAAATGTAAAAGATATTGTGAAATTGCATTCCATTGCAACGATATAAAGGAATGAGTTGAAAGCGTGACAGGTGGAGGATGGAAGATGTATACACCGTTATATTAAAAATAAAGTAACAATTTTCATAGAAATCAAACACGCAATTCGTCCAATATCATCTAGCGATTCGACACTTTTACGATTTTAACTGTCCACTCTTCTATTTTCAGTCATATTTTTGTGGATTTGATTTTTTCTGTTTGTTTTTTGATGTTAATTCCGTTCAAAGTAGAACTGCCTTCACAATGTAAAATCACGAATTATCAACACAATATAGGATTGATATCTGTACAAGGCGCGCGTGTGTTCGTCCTGTGACGGTGAGCGAGGTTTTAATAGACACTGCCGATATCGACCTAACCAGATCGCGTCGCATGTCCTTAATAAACTCACATACGAAATTTATTCACCCCATTTCTAGTCGTCATCATCGATAAAACACCCCGTATTTAGCCAGTCTCTTTTTATCTTTAATTACGCGAATTTCACATTCGTAGTTGAAACGCTGATTTTCACACATATTGCCGATTATGAGACAAACTACATGTGCCAAAGTAAATAGTTATGACATATATGCTGGCCTTGACCCCCAATATTAATCAAAGGTTAAATACATGGATATGAAAAGAAAATGATGAGAGAGAATGAAGGGAGCGCAAGAGCTGTATCATGTCGGTCGACCATCCATCATTATACACTCGTCGCAATACCCACTTCTGTATTTTTGTAACAACTACATCAAACTGATTGTTAACCGTCATCAATATATTGTCTCCGATTGTCCTTATAATTTAGACGCAACTTGCGAGGAGTGTGGGTCCTCAATCTAAGCATACAGTGTTGAAACTCCCCTTCTACTAAGACAGGTGTGCACATTTATCCCGATCACTCCACCCTAAGCTACTAGTACGACTACCCACTCCGTCTTAAACATACTTTAGACTAACAAACATTCTCAAAAACCTAATTTTTCATTTTTGTGAACAAAACAAAAACGATAATAAATCAAATACATTGTCAGCCTTCATCTCAAAGGACTTTTATCTACTTCCCAGTGGTCAGTAGGACAGACAGGGTACTTTTAACTAACACAAAGCAGACGTGGGAATACAAAAACTACTCAAATTATGGCTCGTTTTTGTACGATCTTGAAATTTCTCGGCGGTTAATGTCATTATCTGTTTACATGCTTTCACACTTTACTAATATATCTTTACAATTTTATATTTATTTCTGCAACTAGCCAATCACCTGGCACAATGTATCAGTGGATATTATCTATGACATAATGACTTTAATAATTTAATGATAAAATATTATATTAATAAGTGGAAGAATGGAATAATTTGGTAGTTAATTAGGAATCAGACTGACCAAAAGAAGTGAATCACAGCGAATAAATCCTTACGCAGAATGTTGTCATGTGTGGTCGACATCTCAAATTAAACACTGATGTAGAAACAATACAAAAGGAAAGATGTAAGAAAACTGAACATGCTTATATGCATAACTTCTCGACTGGATGGACTGGATCAATAAATAGAGAAAATTGAGAAATAGACTCAAATTATTCCAGGAACAATACCCAATCTCGATCACACCAACCAAAATGACACTTTTTCTTTTCCCATTCTGTTGTTGTTATTTAATTTCATTACTCGCTCCTGTATGTGATTAGGTAGTGTATTTCTTTGCCGCGATTCCATTTTGAATACTTCATCAACTTAGAAGTGGGTACGAAGATAATATCAAATCCAGCAAACTGACAAAGGGAAGCTTTCCAAGTCAATTATTGGAATGTGAAATGAGTGGAAATCTGGTTTCTTGCTGACAAAGATAGACAAAGATAATTTGTAAGCATGTACATGGATGGAGAAATAAAAAAATGAAATGACAGATGAGAACAACCTCTGCCATGCCCCTGATGCCAGTAGACTCATCATCACACACCTTGTAGTTTTGTATACTAATATTCCATCATAATTTCCATAGATGGATAATTTGAAGTGTATTCCTAGTATCAATTCATCCTTCCCTTTCTATTCTCCGTTCACAGCAACTTCATTTAAATTTGTAACAACATCAGGTTGCTATTGTTTTGTTTGGTTTTTAATCCCAACTAAAAAAAATAACAGACACATGCAAGAAAGGGTAATTTTTAAATAGTGTCTGTGTGACAGGCATATCAGACAGAGTAATCAGAGAGATCTATCATAGCATAATTTTATAAAGTGGATATGTACACTCCGATCGATAAAAGCTTAATGCTAATAATTCATAAGTTGCTGCACTCAGTCACTTTATTTTTAGAAATCCAAGCATTTTAAAATCTTTTCCAGTCTATGTGTACCAAATTAGATAAAACAAAGCATGTCAGACCATTATAGTCTAAACCAAAAAATAAAAAATAAAAAAAAACACACAATACAATCTTGAATGTATTTTTTGCAGTTCAGGGGAATTTTTGTCACAAGGGAAAAAGCCCCAGATACTTTTAGTGTACACTACAAGAGGCTTGTTTATTTTTTCATTTTCTCCCCAGGACATTTATCATATTTCATAAATATGCAATGATCATTTTCTCATTAGACCTTTCTCACTGTATTTTTTTCATGGAGAAACAATGCCATTAGCAATGTATTAATATTTATAAAATGCTTAGAAAAAAGGGGTATCAAGATTGCATTTATATGTAAATCTCTAATAACTGCAAGAAAGAATTTAATAATTTTTGTTGCGAGTGCTGAGTGAGTCGACTGGGCCAGAATTAATAAATATGCGATATGTGACAATGTTTTTGATTGATTAAAGGGTTATTAGAATAACGTCATCTGCATAAACAATCACACAGAAAATTCAATCACTTGTCGAAAATTTGCTCACTGAAATGAAAATGCTGAGTACAAACAATAATCAAACACTGATTTTAAGTAGTAATTATATCATAGGGTATAAAATTGCCGCTATTGTGCTTATCAATGTGAGCATTTAAAGGCAAGTTGGTTGAACTCCGAATTTATTGATGATCCCATGCACACAAATGCTATTAATCAGTCTATCTCAGTGTTGTGTATGCAACATGAACACAGGAGATGTAGCTAAACCACTTGAATTTGACACTGAAAAAAAAAAGCACATTATGTGAGGAGGAGGATATTCTCACGCTGTGAAGCCAAGATCTGTGGAAATACAGGTGGTTGCAGAACCTCTGAGAAAGAAAAATATGTGCGATAAAAATGATTTACCTTCGCATGCCCGAGCAGGATAGATAAATAAAAAATATGATTTCTTCTAGTATCACTGAAGCAGGATTTAAGCGAGGATATTGACGGAGATGAAAATTGAGAGCAATCGATTCCTACTCATCGGATTGTTTCAAAATTGTCATGATAGTGAGATTAAAAAATATGATTTTGTGTCAGCACGGAGATACTTGGCTCAACTCTGAGTAAAACTCACTTTATATTAAAAGGTCAATAGCTATATGACAGGTAGACTTAATATAGTTAGTAATAACGCCTGATATCATTGTCGCATTGAGCCGGCTTCATATCATTACTACATGCTCAGTTCTTGCTCCTCTAAGTATGTATTTAATATTTAAAAAAAAAAAAATTGGCCTG